CGTCCAAAGGAGAGAGCTTTGCAGTGTCAGAGGCTTCTGCGGCTATGAGGTGACCAGATGCTGTTCAGGTGTCTGCATTTCCTGTCCTTGGTTTCTATACTACTGTTCATCACTGTGTGTTGGTTGCAGGAGGAGAATGCCACGTCCCGGTGTTTTGTCACGTTCCCCCCGCACAAACTTTGCTTGCATCACTCACCACAGTGGATGGCCGGAATCTTGTGTAGAATTGTCAGGTCCGTCTGTGCAGAGTTTGTGGTCTCAGAAAAGTTACAACCAATTTTTTTTTGTTTTTTTTCCCTCGCCCTCCTCCTCCTCCCTGTCCCCCGGGAACAAAGATGCTGTAATTATTTAATGAAGGGGGGGAAAAAAAAAAGTGACTCCTATATGAGAATAGCCTGGTGTATATGGATATATGGAATTAGACTAAAAACAAACAAAAAAATAAATTCTAAAGCCTATTAGACAACTTGGTGCGGGTCTTTGGTTTTTTTTTTATTTTATTTTCACCACCCCCCAAAATAATAAAAACAAAAATGTGTTGTCCAATAGCATGCCATCATTAGAAGTCGGATATTTTAAATGTACTGTGTAATGGTAGATCTTTGGTGAGTTTGATCTGCTGATTTACTGCAAGTCAAAAGATTGACACTCCAATGATGATGATGATACATGTAAAGTAAAACTTTTTGTTAACTGTTGTGAAAGCCGATCTCCAGGCAGCAAATCTATAAAGCTCTATTCCTATAGCCCGCAAAGTAAATGGTTTTTGTTTCCTCATCTTGCTCCATTAGGGAGATTTTGGATCTTGAAATCCCTGTGATGTCGGCGTGGTGCGTTTTAGGGAGCAAGCACTGCCAGCAGCTAGCGTGAGGGGCCGGCGGGGAACATAAAGGTTAAGTAACAGAGGTGGCGGGAACTCCGTCATTGCTGTAACATTGTTCAGGGCAAATGAACTATGCACCCTGCGCTTAGAATGCAGCGCTGGTATGGAGCGGGGGTTTCAGTGGCGGACTGCAGAGAAGTCCCCAGTCATTGCCGCAGCATTGTTCTGGGCAAATGAGCGACACTTGATTCTTAAAGTAACCAGCATTGTATCGGTTCAGTGCTGGTTCTGTAGCATTAGACATTGCTTGTTTGCCCAGAACAATCCTACAGAAATTACAGGAGAGAGCTGTGTGTGGAGCCAAGTCCTGCCCCCACCAGTGCTGCAATTGTTGGTCCCGAGTCCATAGCCCTGAATAATTCTCTAGAAATGACTGGAGAGTTGTGTGTGGCTGACCGTGCAGTGACATGGGAGCAAAGTCCTGCCCGCACCAGTGCTGCGATTGTTGGTCCTGAGTCTATAGCCCTGAATAATGCTGCAGAAACGACATGGGAGTTCTCTGCTCCCCTATCACTGCACATCAACAGATATAGCTGCTAAGGCCTTGATTGAGCAATATTGACTTCCTGAGCCATTCAGTGCAGCAAAGCACAGTGGGCTGCAGTTAGGCATTAGAACAAATGGCTTCCGGATGCTGAACACTCCACCAAGCAGTAGGGGTTCGAATGGAGCAAGGCCAGGGCAGTGCTGGGTGCGGGGAAGAAAAAAAAGCTATCTTTGAAATGAGTTGTCACGGTGACCAGTCCCCCAGGAAAAGGGCTGATGCGACTCGTCACCATGACGGGAAGAAAGGTGCCTTTTTGAGTGCTGTAATGTGCAAACTTCACCCTTTACAAAGTGGAACTGAATTCTCTCGCCTTCTGCAACAACCTATTAGGTACTTTCCTATTTACTAGGTACAACCTATTAGGGTGCAGAGCTCTTGGCGCTAAGAATAAGGCCCCATTCACACTGAGCGATTTATCGCGCGGTAATTCCCGCGATATCGTGGCTATTTACCGCGTGATATCACTCTCCAATGCATGGCAATGGGGCTCTGTCCTTCGCGGGTCGTGCGTCGCTACAGCAGGACCCTTTTTTGGAGCGGATTTTGCCGCGATTCTAGCTTGCTTAATGCCAGCATTTGCGCGATATCGTGCGACAAACGCGCGATTTGCGAATCGCTCAGTGTGAATGGGGCCTTAGTGTGCAGTCTGCTGCTTTCCTTGTTCCTGTGCTGCAAAGTGTTCTTTTCACCAAAGCATTCCTAACACCACCATTGAAAATCAATGTCCCCATTTATGAGGGGTCCTCACCATCCGTAAAGGAATATTTGGGGGTGCTATTGCTAAAAAATGTTATGCGGTTTCCTGTCATGTTGATGTTTTTGGCTTCTAAGAAGCTTCTGATTTCTAAGCAGCTTTTATAGCGACTGAGAACAGCAGCTTTTCAGATCTCCAGAGCAAAAGTTGAGGGAAGATCCTTCAATAAAGGGGCCCCATCCCTCTCTACGATATTCTGTTTACTTTCAATACTTGTTGCACCTCCGGGACAGGAAGTCAACTGATCTCTCCGTCAGGACATGGGCAGCAAAAGTGGGGGATTCTGTACTCCTGTAAAATCACTTTTCTTCGAGTCCGTTGAGAGACTCTTCATATCTGTTTTGGTACCATGGGTTATACTGCTGCCTACAGGCAGGGGATTGGATATTGGGCACTAAAAGCTCTCCCTTACCTAGCCTGCTCAGTTGTAGCAAGCAGTACCAAAAACAACAATGGCAATAGTTACCACTGGGGGGAGGGGTGGGGGTGGGTGGTGTTGTAGTTGTGTTCCTCAATGGACTTGAGGAATTTTTGTACTTGTCATAAAATCTGATTTATAGTCTATTCAGGGACAGTATTTATGTTCAGATACCATTGTATGTCCTCAATAGTGGGTGCAGCCCCCCCCAAAAAAATTGCTTGGTTTAACTCGCACAGCCCTCTGCAAAGCCTTGCTGCCAAAAATCACATCTGCAGAGGCTGATATATCCGGGGGTGCAACCACAGACCTGAGTAACATGGAAGAGCCCCAGAGGTGGTCATTGCCCTGGTGTAGAGGAACCTTATTCTTCAACCTGAACATTGGGCTGGCAAATCCACAGAGAGATCTTAGAGCTGGAAGCTGGAGCACCCCCTCCAAGGACCTACTGGAATAACAAGGGGTCAGACTTCTTTTCTGAATGAATTTTAGCATTCAAATGCCAATTACTTCAATGGCTGGAGGGAAATTTCTTTGGTGGGACAAGAGGAAGGCAAAATATCGACCTTCACAGAAGACGGTGACCGAATAAGTCAAGGCCTCAACACGTCGATGTCTGTAGTGGAGAACTAAAATGGGTTCTTTACAGGAGGAGGCCAACATCTCCAATTCTCCTGACCCATGTGATCACCGCAGAGGAGGTTGCCTTAGGAGAATGAGAAGACCAGGGCATCTCCCTCACCAGCTCGATGAGAGGTTTCTGGAAAACAGAAGTCTGCCGCAAATCCCATGAATGAAGCAGGGAGCTAACTGAGCTGGTGGGTGACCCCCTTGGATAAAGTTATTAACGTGTTGTCATTGGTCTTTCAATAGCAAAGGCCGATAATTGATGGTGTTTAAGGCCAGTTCGCTGGTCCACTCCCAAATGAAGGAAAGAGATTGGCATTCCAAACTATTCTGAGCCAATCTGGAGCGTAACGGGAATTCCTTTTACCTTAATCATCTCCAAGGTGACAACTTTTAGAGGCGGAAAGACCTCGGTCAAAGCATACTGATCCTAAAGCGCCACCAGTGCATCTGCTGCCCCCTCTCTCAGATCCTGAGACCTGGAGACAAACCTGTCCAGCTGCTTGCTGTAATGGGATGCAATCTCTGGCCCACATCTGGCATTCCCTAACAAAGTTAAAGGTCCAAGAACACATCCGTATGGAGGGACTAGTCTCCAGGATCTAAGTGCTGTTGCCTGCTACTTCTTCACACCTGTAATGTACACTGCAAAGAAAACTTTAAAGATGTTCCACCCTGGTCAGAATGGCCACAACCCCCCTCCGATTCCCCTTGACCTGCTATGGTGGTATTCGACTAAATTGGGGACCTGTGACCTGTCAGAGGGACAAGCAAATGGCTATACATGCTAGAATGTTGATCATCCTCTTTGCTTTCTCTGGCAACCAACACCCCTGCCTGAGACTCAATTCCCAGAGGCTGGAATTAAGCGTAACCTCTGTCCAGGAAGGAAGTATCTGCCTACTGTCAACCATGATGCCAGATGTTCTGGTCTTGGGACCCAGCCCAACCTTCTTGTCCTGAGACAGTGGTAACATCCAATGCAGAAGGCATAAATCCTCTGGAAGCTGCTTGTGTGAAACTGGACAAATGGTTCCACCTTTAAGAGGACACCATCAAACCCTCTACTGCTCAATGCTCCTCAGAGGACCAGCACCAAGAGGGTGGATGGTCACCAGGATGAGACCCAAATATTCCAAGCATTGTCCCAGGATCAGGAAACATTTCTGGACATTCGACAGCCAACAGAATATGTCCAGGGTCTGAAGAGTGATGCTTACATTGGTCTAGTCTGCTTCAGCGATGACTGCCCCTAGAAGGAAATTGTCCACATATCTCCTGGAGCAGAGGAACCCTGACACTGGGGAGACCATCTTGGCTAAGACTTGGCACTGAGGACAGGTCACATGGGAGGACCACAGACTGTTAATGACTGACTCCAACGGTAAAGCGAAGGAATTGCCGATCGCTGTAAAAAATTAGGGTGTATAGAAAGACGTCCCAAATGTCTATGGAAGCCAAGAAGTCATCTTCAATGGAAGCGATGACTGACTGAACTTCTAAGTACAGGACGGGCTAAATTCACTTTTTGGTTTTAGAACAGTGAAGAGATTTCCTTAGAAGCCCTGGAATCTCTCCAAGAGGGACACTGGCATGATGACCCCGGGACATGAGGTTCGAAATTGCCCAGTGAAGGTCTTCTAGATGTTGAAAGGACACAAGAGGCTTAAACCAAAGAAGCTGGAAGTAGGAGGAAGAATGTGAAATTCTATTTTGTAACCTTGGATGACCACCTTCTGCACCCAAGTGTCTGGATTGTGAGTAATCCAAACCTCTGCAGAAGCTAAGTGCCCCCCCCCCCCTCTAAGGTTACAGATGGGGCAAAGAGATCAATGTCTAAAGAATTTTAATCTGCTGCAAATGCTGATGAAATCACTTACGATGGATTCTGCTCCTTCATATTGTAAAGTTTGTTTCCTGCACAATCAGCTGGTCTCCTGACGGCCTCTTTTAGGGGTGGCTCCTTTTACTTCTAGGGTCCTCTGGAGCCAACCTTGCGTATGCCATGTACAGCAAGACAAGCCAGTCCCCTGCTCCTCGATGAGTAGATGAACAGCTGCTGGACACTATTCTGCCCCTTGTGATGTGCTGGACAGGAAGATCAGGGAAGCAGAGCTGAGTGAGTTGGAGCCAGCGGATCAGAAATGTGACTTAAGTGCTTGGGTAAAAAAAATTAAAGAAATACTTTGCTGTGCATTTGTTCTGGATTCATTATTAATAAACTGTTTGGGAGTTTAATACGACTTTAAGATCGGTGGGTTTGGTGCTCTTGGCCTACCGAGGTCTCCTAGAACCCGAGGACAAAGAGGTGAGTGGTAAGCAGTGAACTGGGGCAGTGAAAGTGCATTCGCATACAATGCACCACCCGTGGCTTGTATGTTTGTCCATCAGAATCTTTTATGTCTCCTCATAGGAGGAGACTCCTTCAGCGACTCTGTTGCCTACACTGCATGACACCATTTTCTGTCGCCAGTATTTTTGTTGTTATTGGTATTTATATAGAAACTGGAAAATAATAATTTGATCCCCTGAAGTGGACGGAGACATGAAAGGTCTATAATTTGTATCACCGGAGACGGAATATCCACCACAAATCCAGAGAAGTCACATGACACAAATGTTATAAATGGAGTTGCAGTTCAGGGAGTAAAATAAATATTTGATCCCCAAGCAGAACATGACTTTGTACTTGGAGGGGAACCCTTGTTGGGGAGCAAAGAGGTGAGACGTTTCTTGGTGGTGGAGAACCCTTGTCGGGGAGCACAGAGGTGAGACGTTTCCTGGGGGAACCCATGTTGGGGAGCACAGAGGGGAGACATTTCCTGGGGGAGCCCTTGTTGGCGAGCACAGAGCTGAGATGTTTCCTGGGGGAACCCTTTTTGGGGAGCACAGAGCTGAGATGTTTCCTGGGGGAACCCTTTTTGGGGAGCACAGAGGTGAGATGTTTCCTGGGGGAACCCTTGTTGGGGAGCACAGAGGTGAGACGTTTCCTGGGGGCAACCCTGGTGGGGGAGCACAGAGGTCAGGCGTTTCCTGGAGGAACCATTGTTGGGGAGCACAGAGGTGAGACGTTTCCTGGGGGCAACCCTGGTGGGGGAGCACAGAGGTCAGGCGTTTCCTGGAGGAACCATTGTTGGGGGGCACAGAGGGGAGATGTTTCCTGGGGAGCACAGAGGTGAGACGTTTCCTGGGGGAAACTGTGTTGGGGGAGCACAGAGGTGAGACGTTTCCTGGGGGAACCCATGTTGGGGAGCCTTGGCTCTCCAGCTGTGCTGAAACTACAAATCCCATAAGGCATTGCAAGCCACAGGCATGACTCCCAGAGGCAGAAGCATGATGGCATATGTAGTTTCAGCCCAGCTGGAGAGCCGAGGTTGCCTACCCCTGGTTTAGGGGATCCAGACAGCCCATCAATGTGCTGGGGCTGAGAACAATTACGCTCCCTGCACTGGATGTATAATATCACCCAAAACATCCTCTCCACTCCTCCAAAGACCTCCTGCTCTCTAGATTCCTTGTCACCTCCTCCCATGTTGCCCTCCAGAGCTTCTCCCATCCTCTGGAACTCCCTACCCTAATCTGTCCGCCATTAAGAGCTCCCTGAAAATTCATCTCTTCCGGTAAGTCTATCCCACCCAACAACTGAACGTTTACTTTCTATATTAACTTATCTCCCTGACCACCCCCCAACATCCTGACCACCCCCCTAATACGGAGTAGGTCCCCCTTCTCCTGACCCGTCCAGGCATGGACCCCACTAGACCTCTGAAGGTGTACTGTGGTATCTGATGACCTCCCTAATATTGGGGTCCCCCTTCCTCCCCCACGTCCGTCAATGAGCCTTCTTTCCCCCACGTCCGTCAATGAGCCTTCCCTCCCCCACGTGCACCTCCCCCTATAGAGATGTGGAAAGGGGGAAGTGTTCTGTAGTCCCAACACATTTCCTTTGCTGCACTAAAATCAGCTACATTGTTGCCATCTATCAATAACAAATCACCCTAATGTTATAGGCTGTGAAGGGGGGGGGTGTTCTGTAGTCCTAACTCACTTCCTGCTGTAGTCTTATTATTGCTCCCAGTGCTACTGGTCTACAGAACCCCTCCCCATGTTATAAGGAAAGGAGGATGTGTTCTGCAGTCCTAACTTCCTTTCCTCTACGCTTTGCTTCTGCTGCACTTTTCTGTAGTCCTAACACATTTCCTTTGCTGCACTCATCAGCTACAATGTTTCCATCTATCTGGGACTACAGATCACCTCCACCTATGTTATAGGCTGTGAAGAGGATGGTGTTTTTTGTAGTCCTTGCTCAGTTCCTTTGCACTTTGCGCCTGCTGTAGGCTCATCAGTTACATTGCTCCCATTTGTCTCTGAGGACTACAGATCACATCATCCCCATGTTACTGAGCTGAGTGGAGGTGTTATGTAGTCCTAACACTTTCTGTCATAAGATGACAATGCTGCTCCGCTGTGCATGGAGTATAGTGTGAGCGTTGTCACCCTAGGACAGGAAGTAGTTTGGTGAGATTTGTTTGTACCGCCCTCTGCCTTCATCAGGCAGGGAGGAAAAAGCACATGGCCGCTCAGCCCCACTCCAGAATGGCTCCCGAGACTGCGCATGCGCACTGCCTGCTCCTTGCCAATAAAGTTTGGCTTATTTACACTCCGCTGCTTTCCAGGGGTGGGCGTGGCCATAGAGCCATGTTTATTTTCGGGCCTTGTGTTTCCCCTCGGCACATCAGACACGTGGGCGGGGCATCCTTTCCGTGGGCGGGAACATTGGGGCAAGGTTCGTGTGTTCTAATGAACAATAAATAGGAGGGGCCACAGATCGTGAGGGGCGTGGGTAGAAAATGACGGACGAAGGGAGAGGCGAATAATAACAGAGCTAAGAGTAGTGGGCGTATCTCACTATTGATTGGCAGTCTTGTGCGCAGGCTCGTTTCGTTCAAGCCGTAGCTTCTTGTTGTGATTGGTCCAAGGTGTGGTTCCTCCAGCGGCTGGGGGCGTTCCCATTATTCCTATTGGTCGTTAAAGCGCATGCTCATTGAGCAGGAATGGGCGTGTCTTTCTTTGATTGGCAGCCTTGACTCTAATTATGTTAGTAGGGATGAGGGCGTGTGTTTGTGTGATTGGCACCTCGGCGCAGGCTCGCAGAGCGGCGGTGGGCGGGGATTAGCATTTGGAGGGGCGTGTCTTCCTCGGCCGCAATCGCAGCATTCCCCGGCGGGCGCCATGAAACTTTTGGTCACCTAATGAACATTTTTGTGCCCAGAGTTCAGTTCTGCGGGAGGCTGATTTGGCCACTGCAAATAGAGTTGAGTGCGAATGCTGTATGACATGTTTCAGCCGTTGGGAGCTGGTGATGGAATTCTCAGCGTGGTTTTTATTGCATATTAAAAGAAAAAAGCTCTTTAAAGTTTAAATCCGACATTTTAATCTCTGACAGGAAGTGTAGGGAGCCCCGTCTGGGGAGGTCCATCCTCCCTGGTCACCGTTGTCTCCGGTACAGGAAGTGACGGGAAATCCCACGTATTTTAGGGTTGTCACCGGAACAGGACTGGAAGGGAAATCTACCAATGGGGACAACTGAGGGTATTTCCCTGCACTATGGAGAGGTCTCCCTATACCAGGGCTAGGCAACCTCAGCCCTCCAGCTGTGCTGGAACTACAAATCCCATAAGGCATTGCAAGCCACAGGCATGACTCCCAGGGGCAGAAGCATGATGGGATTTGTAGTTTCAGCGCGGCTGTAGAGCCGAGGTTGTCTAGCCCTGACCTGTACGCTCTGTTGTGTCTCGGGGATAAGAATTGTAGGCGACTAGCATTTCCAGGAGGAGAGGTCAGCAGTGGCAGCCTCCATGTCTCATTGGGTGTAATGAGCGCTCGGCCTCCCAAGTCCTTTTGTAGATTAGAGCCGTGGAACGTTGGCGCAATGGCAGAGCTCCTATTGGCCCACAGGAAGAACCGAGAGAAAGATCTGGCGCTCCGCCAAAGATTTATATACAGAGGAATATAAATTCACACACGGGAAATGTTCTAACGTGTTTCGGCCATTCAGGCCTGAGGGCATGGCTATGAATAAGACCGTAATGGCTGAAACGCGTTGGGGTCTGGTGCATTGGTTGACCCGGGGGACGTTATAATGATCCGTGTTGTCTTCTCTTCGCAGTACGTCCAGGCCGATTCTCCCACCAACAAAGCTCTGGCTGCGCTGGTCTCTCAGCTGCTGCAGTTCCAGGAAGATGCTTTTGGACGTCACGTCACTTCAGCTTCATCATCAAGATCCGGGGTCCCTCGGTGGGAAATATCGGGGTGACGGCAGTGCATTTGCATGTAGGCGTTGGAGCGGCAGCGTTGCCTCCGTCCTTTGCCTGCTCGGGAACCGGAACTACAACGCACGGCATGCCGACGGCACAGAGCATTCTGGGAGTGTCTGCCGCTTGTCATAGTCGGGTGCTCTCGCGCAGAGGGGTACAGGCGCACGCTGTTACAAGTGATGAGAGAGCATGGAGCCGCTTCCCAGCCAATCAGGAAGCCGGGTGCCGATAATGACTCCGCTGCCCGGCTTCCTCATACCCGGAAGTAAGGGGCTAGGCATCGGAGCATTTGGGCGAGTACGAGTCCTCGGCACCGGTACTAGTATCGGTATCTGTGCATCCCTAATATAATATAAATGGATACATATCGATATAAAGTATATTCTGTTATGTTTTCTCTTATTAGATGAAGTGCTTCTTGGATTTTAAGCCCAGTGGTGCCCTCTGCCACATCCTGGGTGCGGCGTACAAGCACCGGAGTGACCAAGGATGGTAGGATCCGATCTCCTGTATCGCTGTGTGTGATATGTTTGTCACTTTTACTGATTGAATTCCTGAAATCTCGTGTGTGTCCCCCC